TTTTAACCAACTATAAAATATGTGAAAGATATTATAATTATTTTGAAACTAATCATGTTATTATTTTTATTTTATTAATTTAATAAGATTATGGAGGATCGTAGTTGAATATATAAGCGTCAAACTCCACGATGAGAGATATATAATGAGTTCTATAATATAGTTGAATATTTCCTCCAATTTGCATACAATAGCCTTAGTTTTCAACTGAATGATTTAATCAGATATCCTTGTACTAAATGTTTTAATTTACCATTGATGACTCAGGAAATGGGATGGGACCATCTTACTAAATATGGTTTTATAAATGCTTATTCTATTTGATGGGCACATTATGAGACATTTGTGAATTCAGTAGATCCATGGTCTGCTACTAATCTGGAAAAATCATCACACAGCCAAGATACACACCATGATGAAAGAAATGATTTTCGTGAAATGGTGTATGATGCATTTTAACCAGCTGATCTGATTCTTTTGATTAACCAGGCTGTAATGCATGGTTACTACCTACATGTTTCTCATCAACCAAACACTCTGTACACACAAATTAATTCTTACGCGTGATTATGTGCGATCTAATGGAATTCAATACTTTAGATTGAAAACCTGTGATTAATAGTTGAGAATTGAGGAAATTTGTTGTTACCAGAGGCAGATCTAAGATTTCTGGATTGGGAGAGTTAAAGATCTTAAGGAAATCGAGAATAGTGATTTCGATACTGGCTCGAACCTCGAAAGAAATACTTCGTTCCGTGAGAGACAAACGAAATTATACCTGAAGATTCGACCAAAAAAACTAAAATTACTTCGTGAGGGAGGGAGGAAACCGACGTAGCAGACTTGTTCATCGGTGAAGAACTTCATCGAGGGTTTGCAGATATCGTACATTTCCTCAGCGTCACAGAGAAGCGTGAGTGCGTGACGAGGAAGACACAAGGAAGATCCCAGTAAATCGATCGAAGTGAGGAGCAGGCTCAATGGGTTTGACAGCCTGGCTTACATTCTCCTATAAGGCCCAATAAATTCTTTTTAGCCCATGAGGCCCTTTCAATTTACCAATCCCACGTTCAAATTTGAAGAAGGGTAAATCGGGAAAAGTTCGAATCCTTTTTCATCTATAATTTCCAATTAAAATCATACATTTTTTGAAAAATAAAAAGGTCGAATGTGCACATAAGCAAAAAATAGGTAGTACAGACTACAAAATGTCACTACTTAAAAGCGAAAATTGTAAAGGTATAATGTTTTATATAATATACAATTAATGTAACATTTTATAACTAGTTCTTTTTATTTATACATAAATTGGTAATATATGTACTTTTTTTTAATTTGGATTTGGTTGTCACAACTTAATTTTTATATAAAATTCAACCAAATGATTTTATATGATACATAGATGATAATGAAATTTTTTTTCTTTTAATATGTAATTTTTATTGAATATTTTTATTTAATCAAAAAAATTTTAATTG